TTGCTTCTCGATTACCTTCTTGAAAAGAGGAAAAGACAGAAGAGAAAGAAAGAAGAGTCGAAAAAGATGATCTTGAAGGGAAAACGGATTCAAGATGCTGATGATGATTATTTAAATGTAAGACATTCTTTGTCTAAAAATACCAACTCAAACAGAGATTATGATGATGATGATCAAATTTATAGATGAGAGTAAAACAGTAACCAGTGAAAAGAGGAGCAAAAGATGAATCGAGTGTAGTTGATGAGAAAATGAAACAAGGAAAAAGATGGAAACGAAGAAACTGGTAGATTCTATCAACTAATACTAATGACAATTTCTTATTGGGAATTTGTAACAATCAGAAGAAACGAAACGCAAAGAGGGAAAATCCAAGTAAAGGCAAACACGCACATAATCATTACTATTCATTTGCTCATCTTTTCCTCTTCTTCTTCTTCTTCTTCATCCTCATTTGCTCCTTCTCTTCTCATCTTGCACCATGTCAAGATGAATGTTTTGCGCCTTTATTATAATGACAAACAAATATCATAATTAGTCGTTTCTCTTGATGAACATTTGTAAAACAATTTTGGCAACATGATCATCATGATCATCTTCCTCATCATCATACCGATCATCCTTCTACCTATAAGAAGAGCGTCTTTCTTCATCTTTTTTTGGTTCGCCTTTTAACATCTCACAGGCCTACCAAGCGTGACCAAAGCCTCCCTCTGGTCTTAACATTTTGCCTTGGCTTTCCTCTTCACTTACCGCATCAATTGTACAACAAGATGAGCCTTTGCCATTCGTTTTTTTGCTCATCTCTAGATGATCAACTTTGAAAGATGGAGACATCATCTTTTTGTTTCATCTGCTTCTCTCACTTCTTAAACCAATAAAGTATCAGTTAACAGTTCATTTGACAGCGACAAGCTTCACTTGGCCAGAATCAATTATGCAAATAACATTTACTATTAGGAAAAAAACAAACTTGTCTTCATATTTACTCTTGATTTACATGATGATCACACTTAACTCACTTTTCTCTCTCTCTCATAACTCAAGAATCCATTTTTCACCACTCAACCTAATAGTGACCAGAGAAGGAAGGCAAAAAATTTAAATAAATATCATCATTATTTACATGTTGTCATCATTTGTTCATCAATGTTGAACAGTAAACACGAAGAGACAACATTTGATGAAGATAAATCTCGCCATTTGTTTATCTTGAGCCACCACAAGAGTTACGACAAAAAATTGAATAAACAAGTGTTTCAATGTTGAAGTCAAGTTGAAATGTTTGCAAAAAAGGGGAAAAAATAAAAGTCCATTTTCCATCAAAAATTGATTTTCCCTATCACAATATCATTTGAAATTCATTTTAATCCCTGAATAATAGAAAATACAAAATGATAAACAATTTCTACTCAACAACCTTTGATAACTTTTTGACTTTTTTTTCGCTTCTCCCTTTCACTATTTATTTATTGCATATAAAAGTTTGTTATTACTACAAATAACTGGGAGTAATACTTTGTACTAATCTAACATTTACAATGAAACTCCCAGTAGAAATATAAGAAGAGGAAAAGTAACATCATTAATTTATCTTCTCTCTTCTTCTTCTTTACCCTTCCTTCCTCTCGATCTTCTCTCTCACCTCTCATTTTCTCTCCTTTTTATCTCTACTAATGAGCTATGTCCATAGTCCAATGTGAACAGAGAGTAATGGCCATAACTCGTAACTTTCGCCATCATCATTCGTTTTCTCCCTTTACTTTTCATTCTCTCTCTCTTTTCGCCCATTTATTTGATCAAACTCAACCAAACCCGATTAAATCTTGATCAACTCTACAGATTAAACTGTTCAGATGAGAGAAGACACAGAAAGAGAGAAAAAAAGAGACTCGAATCTTTTTAATAGAGAAAACGCTTTTTTTCTCTCTTTTCCTTCTTTTCTTTTAACATGATGCTGATGCTCTTGATGATGATATTTTTATAGACTAAACAAATGAGTTAATGAGGTTTAGATATGGATTCATTGAAGCTGAGCATAATTCATGACAAAACATTTTTGCCTTCGATTCCTAAACATTAACCTAATATTAATATAAATACTATACAATTATCTTTCTTTATCTTGCAATCTATTAACTCATGATGATGATGATGATCAAAATCAATCGACCATTCTCATCAGGCTGACTTCATCTTTTCCTCATCTTTCCATGTCTTTCCATCAGAGTCTTTCGGTCAACTTGTCTTCAACCAAAAATCTCATCAAATATGGATTGCTTTAGAAACAAAGGATTGCTTAGAGATTTCAAGTTAATCATGAACATGAGCAAGTTTTTTTTCTTTAAAAACGAATCATTTATGGATTCAAGTTTGGCATCAAAGTAAACTGATTGATTCGTTTTCATCATTTTCCTTGAGAAACCATTAACATCGATTAAGAATTACTTTTAGCTAATCATGATCAATCCAATTGTCTTTACCTTGAACAATTGATTTGAATATTAAACACTGAATCACGATGAATCCAGCCGATAATCACTTTCAAAAGTTGCAAGAAAAGGTTTACTGAATCAAGATTAAAGCCAACCAAAGGATAACCAATCAATCAACAAACATTAACCTTGAATTTTATTCATTTCACTATTATGTTAATAACCATTCAATCATTTATTCAACAGAAAACAAGATTCATCCAAAACCAATGTTCCAATCTGATTTGAAAATAATTGAAGATCAAAACTCACGCATAAGTTAAATATCGTTATTAGTGAAAAGCTTAAAACAAAAGTCAATATTTATTGGAAATTGGTGAATCTCGTAAACTTCATTCAAACTCAATTCATGGCCTAAAATCTGTTTACAAATGGAACAATTTTTTCTGGAGCAAATTCTGTTTCTTGATAAACATCCATATAGTTCTATTAATTATCATGATACAGAAAGAAATTACTTTAGATGATGAATTTTTTCTCTCTTCGCTCATGATAGGAAAATGGAGAAATGAAAGATTGCAAATCAGATATTGCAACCTTCACTTTTATATTCACCATTATCATCATCATCAACATCATTACCATCAACAGCAACAACCTCATCAAACTTATCCATCTTCTTGTTACATTTTGAATGTTGAATTGGAGCCAAACATTTACAATTGCAAATCAAGAAAAACAAATGATATTGCAAACTGAAAGTTAACCCATTCCATTGAATCTGACAAATTTAGATTTTGCCAAACTTCTTCTTCTCAACAAATTAATTTCGATTCGTTCAAACTCGACTTGACATTTGCAAAAGTAAAATATCAGACAAATTGCAAAAAACTTTGAGGTTAGAAGCAGAAAAAAACTCATGAAAAGCAAAATTTGTTTGTTCAGTTTCCAGTCGTAATCAAATACTCTGAACAAGAAAATCTGTGAAATCTCATTCCAAGTTGAATGAGTGAATAAAGTAAAAAATTGTTATCAATTATTGTCATCAAACAATTTGTACTTGCAATGCTATGCAACTGTGATTACCAAAAATTAATTTCATGCAATAATTACAGTTGCAAACAAATAGCTGAATATCACAAAGTAAATGAAAAAAATTCCCATCATTGAGAAAAAGCAAAATCTCTGAGAAAAAAAAGTCAAACATAAATGGCTTTTAAAGTTGCAAATGCAAGTTCAACATTTCAAGCAAAACATTTGTCTTGATCAATATAATTTGCCTTCAAGTTTAGAAAAAAAAGTTGAAAATTCGTCTTCAAATTCGTTGCTACGATTGAATTTCATACTCGTGTTTACCAAACAAGTCACAAATGTTGATTTGTTCAAGATTTGTTTTTCTTACGGAAATTGCTTCGGTTCATCCTTTCCCTGCCTTCATCAACACCAATCACCAACAGGTAATGGGTAAAGCATGAAAAGAGCTACAATTGTTTTTCCTCCAACACAAGCAAACAAAAGGAAAAGAAAAAGAAGAGAAACAAAAACTAATAACAAATATCATGAACCGGGGCCAAGAACATTTAGTTTCATCTAAAAATTCATAATCATATTGCACAGCAACAGTTTTTGCACACACAAGTTGGGCCAATAATTGAAACAACAATCAAAATAAACACAGGTTAATTTCAAGTGTAATTGTTATATCACTTGTGTTTTACCTGATAAGCAATAAAAAAATGATTCCCATTTTTCCTGCCTTTTTTACCTTTTATTTCACGGCTAACATTTATCTCTCATCTCTCATCATCTTTACCATAAAAAGCCAACTCTTCGCTCTCGCCATTCTCTTCTTTTTCTTCTTCTCTCCTTCTTATCCTAATCATTTTGCGTACATTAAGACTCATAAGTAAACTCACGATTGACCTTTTATCCGGTTGAAAGTAAATTATGCACCCAACCGAACCTTATTTCTCCTAAAAATTTTCATCATCAGTTAATCTTGCCTGATATTTATAATACATTTTCATCTTTTTCTCTTAATTTGTTAATCTTCTTTATTTTCTCATAATGTTCAACAATCAACCATTTACCTGAACAACTAATACACTCCTTTCAAAGTCTCCTTCATTTCAATACTTCACATTAAAATCTTTTCACGATTAATATCCTCAAACGCGATGGATTTACTATAAAATTGTAGCTCCATAGATCATACAAATCGATGAAAAAACAAAAAGATTCATTTTCACAGTTGATTTTTTCCAAGCACTAGACAGTGATTTGAGCTATATTGACTATGATTTTGAGCTCGTTCAAGTCACTAATCCAACAATGACAACGAAAAATCCAGATCTATTTGTCCCTTCAACTTGATCAAGCTTTAGTCATGTTAAGGAATCGACTTCTACTTAACCAACTTTGAAACATTTAACTTGGCTAAATCAGAAAAGAAATTTTTCGTTTGGAAAAGTTGTTCAACTCTTTCAATAGATTTCATGATATCCCACTTTTGAAACAAGAGATTCAATGATTAGGAAAGTTTCAATAAGGAATGGAAATGATCGACAATTTATTGTTATTACCTTCAAGTTGTGTAAAGATTGTAAAGTGCTTTGCTTACCTGATGAATAGAAAGAAAATATTTTTATCGATAATTTCAAAGTTGCTTATCCAATTATTGTCCAGTGTAAAATGATATCGATTGGTCAATCTGTAAGTAGAACAAAATATTGAAATTAATCAAAAGAATTTCGTGATGAGTCAACTTTCATGGATAATAATGATTTAATCGAATGTTGAAAAAGTTGCAAAATTTTTCTCCTTTTCTCATTACGTCTTGTTTCTGAAACGTTTTTTATTGAAATACAGAAAATAATATTTCACATTTGACATCAAATGATAACCATTTACAAGGTGGTTTTCATGTAACTAAAATGTCAGTTTTTTACCCTCTATTCTGCTTCTTCACCTTTTCTGGTGTAACCCAAAATGGCTGGAAAATGATATTACATTTTCAGACTTAGCAATAAATCTTGATTTTTATGTCTTCTAATTGTGATGGTCCAAAAGATATTAGCTTTTCTCTTCTTTTACTCTACTATTACTGCCAGTATCATCATCATTATCAAGACTTCCTATTGATTTGGGAGGCGATCTTCATCATTCTCACCATCATAACTATAAACATGGCAAAGTTGAAAAATAAGCTAAATAATATCTGAAGAAGAGTGAAAATCGATCAAGGAAAAAAAATCAGAAATAAAATGAAGGAAAAAAAAGTCATCTGAAAAAATTGTAATTAATATTATTTGTTGCTTTGCGCTTAAACTTTTTTTAAAGATTACTTTTAATAAATCGTCAGCATTGATTGATTTCATCTCATCAGGTCATGAGTTTTGAGACAAAAAAAAGTCTCATGATCTTGTTGAGTAATTATTGATGCCCTTTGAGTAACAAGTTCAAGGAATCTATTAGGATCAAATCAACTTTAGTCAAGTTATTGTCATCGATAAACTTGCACATTAATCAATCTCAACTCTTACTGGTTAAGTCTTTGTTTAACAAAGTCTAACCTAACCTGACCTAACCTAATCATCAAAGTAAAAGGTAATTTTTAGCTCACATTTGAGTCACTGAGTCTTTAAGACTCATTTTTGGTTTCTTATCAATTTATTGTTACAATAAACTGATGATGTCAATTCACCTTTAAGTCACCAAGTTGTCAACTTTGAGTCACTGTCGTTTTGTTGATAGAAACATTGATTCCCATTGTCTCGATTAACCAATTGCTAACATGCAATTATTGCCTACACAAGGTAATTTCATTAAAAAAAACATGAAAATTACAGGTTACCAATTGTCGGTTGTTCACCATTAAACTGACAATTGGTATTTATGCTAACAATGTTTTCATTTGAAATGTTTCATTACCTCAAATGGGATTAGCAGCATTTAAAAAGCCTACACTTAACCTAATCAACTAGAATTGATCACTTAATTAATGTTTTCATCAACAAGTGTTATCATTCAATGTTAATCAACTGAAAGAAGGTAAAAAAGGAGCAAATAAAGAAAAACAGATTTCTATCATTTATTTATCGTGAAAAACAAAAGATCATTTTGTTGATCAATTGATTGTTGCATTGATCCAATTATAATTACCATAATCATATTTATCGAGAGTGTAAACTTGTTTCCCAAAAATGAAGGTGTAAAAAGTTGCAATCTGTTTCACATTAATTGAGCTTTTAATCGTTCAATTTTCACAAGCGTGATTAGACAACATCTTTGAGCTTTTTTGCTGTTGTTTTCAAGTTTAACAGCAAGGGTCCACAATCAATTGAATCGCTGTTGGCTTTTTTGATTTATTATTGGAAACTAATCATTGATTGTTTATTACATGCTAACATTCAAACACATTCAAACCATTATTTATGGTTCAACTAAACATTTAATGTTTCAAGTGGGAGTTTCCAGTAAACAAGTTGATTAAAGCCAAGTTGACCCTCAAATTGTATTGTAAACTTGTCAATACTAATCTTGATAATAGAGCTTCAAATTTTGAATGTTTGGTCCTTCCAATGATTCAGATAATTTTATTATCGAAACAAAAAAAATGACAATATTCAGCAACTAAACTGTTAGCTTCGATTTTTCGCTTCGTTCAGAACCATTTCTTGTCAAAGAAACTCTATTTTTAGCTAAATCAGTAGCTATGAAGATGGTTAGGTTACGTTATTTTTTAACGAACCTCAATTTGAACTTCTGAAGATCTCAAGATTCACGATTTTGTTGCGAAAATCATGTTCTATGAAACTCTATTTTCAAGCTTTTACTTAGCTTCAAATGAAATTTTTTGGCTCATCGATGAACATCATTAATGTATTGCGAACCACAAAAGACATCGTTTAAACATTCATTAAACTGTTATTATATGTGTAGCGCCCTCTATTAGATAATTGATTTTCGTTCTTTACCGGTTTTTTCAAGTGAGTTTGAACTGAATCTGGCTTTTTATTTTGGTTTTTTTCAATTCTTGCATTCACAATGCTCGGCTGAAATGTTCATTAACAATTGTTGGTTGAACTTTTTTAAAGCAAAAAAAGTTAATGTTCAAGTTCAATTATAGGTTTATCTATTCCTTTCGTTCATTAGATTTTCAAGAAATGGCAATTTAAAGGGAAAGGCATGATGATGATGATGATGGAGTTGACAGAAATTAAAGAAAGATGATAAGTAGAAGAAATGATTAAGGAAATTGTGAGAAACATTATTCAAAAACAAACCTTGACGACCAATAATTGTCTCTCCATTAGTATATTTATCAAGCTAAAGGTGCAAAAAACAGAAATGAAAAATGCAGAAGAAGAAAGGAATTTACAGTAGCAAGTGTAAGAGAAGAAGCTATAAAAAGAGGAGGGAGAGTGGGAGGGTGCCAAGAAAAGTACTCAGTAATGACGAAGTTACCCAAAATTTCAATTGACTACAATAAAAGTCCAAAACTATAGGTTCACATCTGAAAAGATTGAAACTTTTCCTGGTCAAATCAGTCAAATGACTAACAATAATTGAATTAAAAATTGAAATGAAAAGGTTCACACACTTGTCAAGTTAACCCGAAAATTTTCCTAGTCAATGACTAAATCTCAGCACAAGGGGCTTCACCAGTTTCCAGTCTTATTTGACAACAAATCAACTAAATTAAGCATCAAGTACGATGATCAAAGTAGTCTTTGTCGTTGACAAACATCAATATGAAAAGCCGATAGAAAATCTGATTTTATCCAAAATTCAAGTTCTCGAGTTCAGATTTCGATTCTGTACACTTCTGTCACATTAGATGCATCAGTCAAACTTGAAGCGATTTCAAGAGCTGTCTGATTATTTGGAAGTACAATGTTTACCTCAAAATTTGACAAAATAAATCATTTAAAAGTAATGTCAAGATTTAATGTGAGATTTTATTGGAGACCAAAAATTGCCGTAAACTGAGTGTTGACAATACGAGGGACTCATTGTTTCACCATCAATTGTTTTGCTCTGTTTTGAGCAACAAGACAAAACATTTGATTGGCAGACCATTAAGATGTTCTGTATCTGTTTCCATTCCCATTTTCAGCCTCTCATCTAATGTTATCCTTTCATCTTTATCATGTTCAGTTTTCATTCTTTCAAGCTCAATGTTGCCTGATTGAGTTGAACCAACAATAACAAACAAGAAAAGGGCAAAACACAAGAAAAAGATGAACAAGAGATGAAAAGAAAGAGAAGAAGAAGAAATATCATTTCCTCTTGACATGGCGATTATTATGTCACGTGATGAAAAATTACACCACTTACGAAGGCGATTCAATTTATCATGTTTGACTGTTTGAGGATGAACAAAGTTAAGAGCATCAAGATGATAATGGTCAAAGCTTGGGAGGACGAACAAGATGAGATAAAGGAAGAAGAAAAAACAAGTGGAACAAAAGTGGTTTTAGTTTTAAGTGAACAGAAGACGAGAAAAGAAAGAAAAAGAGAAAACATTTTCATTCCTTTTATGTTGACTGTCATCCATTTCATGATATTTTCATCTATTTACTATTATCTTATTGCTATTATCATCATCATTATTATCATTAGTTGATATTATTGCTTTATTGGTTCGAGTATTATTTACTTTGAAACGATATTGTAAACAATTAATCAACCTTTAGATATCATTAGCCTTTCATTGACTTTATAACATCAAAACTCGATGCACTTGGACCATTACTCAGTGATTTGACTTGTGACCCTTAATCTTGACCAAAAGGTGGAGAAAAAGTTTGTTCTCAAAAAAAGTAAAGGGTTAAATTGGTGATTGAATAACAGCGAAAAAGTTAAAGAATTGGAAACTGTAATTGTATTATGATTGTCAATGATAACCTGATTAATGATTATTGTTGAACAATTGAAAGGTTAAGGGAAACGTGGGATGACAATTAATGATAATGATAACAATTTGTTGAATTAACAATGAAATTAATTCAACCTTCAAAAGCCAATTTGTTTGTTTTTGCTCCTTCTTCTTGTTCTTGCGATCAACCTCATCACCAAAACACACAAACATTTTAATGGAACGACAATTAACTAAATTCAAAGTTAATTGTTTCTTCTTCTTCTACTTTCATCAAAATATGAAAATTATTATTAGCTGAATGAAAAGCAACGATAGTAAAGGTTTACGCGAATCGCCACCATTTTAATCATTAATTGGACACGTAACGATGAAGAGAAAAAGGTTTCAAATGAAAAGAAATGAACAAAAGGTAATCAAAGGAATCGTTAATTAAAACGCAAGGTTACAGTAATTATCGCGATTATGATGAAAAGAAGCTGAAGGCGATAATTTTCAAGTCATTTTTTCACTTTACTCTTTGTTTTGTCAAACCATTATCTGTATCAGTCTAATCTTTCAAAATGATAATCATAAGCATGATAAGAAATTGAATTCACAGGATGAAAAGGGGAAGAAAAGGAAGTGAAGAGAAAAGGGAAAAAGAAGAAGATGAAAGGTCAACACGTCAGGGTTGCTTATGAATTTATCATTTGAGTGACCAAAATGATCAGTGATGATAAAAATGAGCGAAGACGCTTTACGGGTAGAGAAGAGAAGAGGAAGAGAAAAGGGTAAAATTATAAGGTGAGAAGAGAGAATTGAATATTTTTCATATTTTCTTTTTTCTG